ACTAGATGACCTCCAAGGTCCCTTCCAACTTTTTTATTATTATTTTTATTATTTTTATTATTATTATTATTATTATTATTATTATTATTATTATTATTATTATTATTATTATTATTATTATTATTATTATTATTATTATTATTATTATTATTATTATTATTATTATTACAATCACACTTGAACCTAAATTTTCCATTGCTAAGCAAGACTTTTTAAGTGAGTTTTGTCCCATTTCACGACCTTTCTTGCCACAGTTGTTAAGTGAATCAAGGCAGTTAAGTTAGTAACACAGTTGTTAAGTGAATCTGGCTTCTTCATTGATTTTGCTGGTCAGAAAGTCCCTTGGATACTGCAACTGTCATAAATACATGCCAGTTACTAAGTATCCGAATTTTGATCATGTGACCATGGGGATGCTGCAACAGTTGTGTGAAAATCGGTCATAAGTCACTTTTTTCAGTGCTGTTATAACTTTGAATGGTCACTAAACCTATACTCTACCTCACAAGTGTGAGAAAGATGCTTAGATATAAACGCTGCAGTTCCTTCCAATGATACAAGCTAACGTGTGGTCTTTTTAAAGCAATCCTGAATTGAATTTTGCAATCTATTTTGGCCTATTTATTTCCAACGTGGTAATAGTTGGATGGAGAGGTTTTGTTTTTTTTAATGTCAAACATACCCCCTGCTACATATACACTTCCCAATTTCTATTTTGCTGGCCACACTGGCAGGGCATATGACAACGCCACGTCTCTTTCTCGTTTCCTCCTTCCCCTTTGTCCTCTACCACCGCATTTTTCTGTCAGTTCTTTTCTCCATTAAATCAAATTAATGTTCTTCACACCCACCCTTAGAATATAATATAGCACCCTTTGTGAATATTTGAGAAAAAAATAATTTCCACTTTCTGAAATTGATAATCACAAAGACACTCTGAAAAAATGGCTAAGAGATTGGGGTTCAGTGATAGGAGTTGAGGCATTAAAAAGTGGGTCATTCACTATTTATTTGCATAAACTTTTAATACATTGTTACCTAGAATTTTTCCCAAAAGCCTGAGGCAGTAATCTAACTAGTGAATTGCAACTGCAGGAATATCTAATGCTAGTATAACAATCGCATTTTATTTTGTTATATTCAAAGTGAAATTTGTGCATTAAAATAATTGCGGCTATGCTGTAATTTATTAAAACATTAATTTTGGAAATCACAAAAATAGTGTGTGCAAGTAGAAAGAAATCTTGTGGCTGTCTTGACACTGAACACTTAAATGTCAGGGACTCAGGGTTGATTGCATATATGTAAGTTTGCAGCCATGAATTTGAATAATTCTCAACAGTCTAACCTTGCTGAAAGCCTACCCACTCCTTCGGACATGTTTTATAGGATTAGAATATGTGGATTTATGTAAGATTTTTTTAAAATAATGTTTTTGATATATTGCTTTGTAAGAAAACCATAAAATATAAATCACTAAGGCTACATATGTTTATAAAATATAGTAAACACATCAGAAAGTGTAATATAAAATCATGTAACTTATTTCCTCAGTGAACTTTTATATATAATTTTATTAAGAATTTTGATTATGATAGTAAAGTCTAATAGAAACCATACATAAAGAAAATAAAAATGAGTCGAAAAGTGCAAGAAAGAAAAAAGAATATGATAAAGAAAGAGAAAGTGAATATAAAAGAAGTTATTTCCAGTCTTCATCACAACAACTATAAATAAATTTAGTCTCAATTTACCCCCTCTAAGGTTGCAAACATTTATCTCTAAAATTCTTATCCTATCTGTTATGTATTAACAAATGATAAAACACCATCTTTTCAGTCTTATGTCAGCAGAGTGCAGAAAGGATAGCCAGAAGTATAAATATATCTTGTTTTAACCTTGATCAAATAAACCAACTTTATATAACTACATGTTAATAGTCTGAATCTTCAACTCTTTCAAATATTGTTGTAGGCTTTGATTTCTCTAGTTGTTGTTTTTTTGTCCCATCACACAGAGTTTTTGTAAATCCAATAAGAAAAAATTACCCAGGTCACTCTCTTGGTTTTTCATTTGTATTTCCTCTTTAAATTTTAAAGCCTCAGCCAGTTTCTTTTGTAAATATCCTTTTCTAACTTATTCTCTTAGCCTGTCAGTTTTAAATCTACTTTTGATACCATCTCTCTTTTGTCAGGTAAAATTTGTTCTATAGCTGTCATTTTTTAATAACATCTTTTGGGCATAATCTGTCCGTAGCAGCAGATATCATTACTGACATTGTTGATTTGGAGGCTACTATTTTCTGCTTCCATTCTTCTATAGTGTCCTTCAATATTTTCATTATGATAACATTTTGCAATATTTTACAGACTTGTAAAACTTTCCTCTATCTAAAAATATTAGTTCCCTCTAATGTCCAGTTTTTGAAATCATGAAATTGCTTATCTTTATTTTGTCTTGTAAAAGCCAAAGCACAATCTATTTCCCACGAAAACTGTATTTATAACTAGTGCCAAAATTTTATTGTACAAGTTTCAATATTCCAGTTTTTTTCTGGAAGTAGTTAACCAGCAATTTCTGAAAGAGATTAGAAAGTGAGATCTGCAAACATAGTGTCATTTAAACATCTTCACTGCAGCTGCAAGCAAGATAATCCCGTCATCTCCGGGCACCCAACCTGCAGAAAACCACTGTTCTGCAGTCTCATCATGGGGAGCAGCTGTCCAGAACACATGTAGGTGATCTTTGTCCTCTTTATATGGAGAGGTTCCAAGGAACCGATCTACTCACCGGTTTCTTGGTCCTTGTCATAGTTATTGGCTTTGCTTTCAAAGAACTGTCTTCAATTTGCTGTACCTCATCCGGAGGTTCACTTCCTTAGTGAACTTTGGAAACTAAATGTTCCCAACTTGCATAGCAAGAAATTTTATAGATACAAAGTATATTGGTATAAATTGGGAAAGGGTAATGTTTGAAAGCTATTGAAGTTGTCTGTGTGTTTGATTAAATTGTATTCATGCAATAGTTTCACATAGCAGATTTAATTTACCTTATCTTATTCAGCCAACGATACCCAACATTTTCATTCTTGATATTTTTGGTATGGGACTTATGGACATACATAGTGTACACACCCTTTGAAGTGTTTTAGGCAACAGGTCATACTGTATGCTTTATTTTGATAATGGTGGAAGGGGATACCTAGATCTTATAAAAATATAGAAAGCAAGGAAATTTGCCCAGTCTACATGAAAGTATAATGGAAATTCATTGTTTCACAGGTCAAATTTACAGTGTATTATAGCAAGTTCAGAACCTTGCTGCCTTTTGGATACCTAATTAGATAACTGTAATAGTCTAAATAGGGCTGCCACTGAAAAGGTCTAGCTGTGATTCAAAAAGCAGCTGATTTTTACCTTTGAAACCCTGAAATGTCAGAGGCCACAATAACAAATATTCTGCTCCATTACGACCCTGCAAATAAGTTGGGGTGCTTATTGAACGCCCCACACTTCACTGCTATAAGTACAATGAATAGCTTCACGCAAGACCATATTTTCTCCATCCTCCCGATTGGTTTTAAGAGGTTTTCTGTTTTGGGATTTTATCTTTTTTTTTTCAGTTTCCATTTGCTTTTGTTTTAATATGACCACCATATTTTGAGAAAACAGTTTAAAGTGTTGAGATAATTTTATATCCATTTACATTATTAATTACTTTGGAAACATTAAATTTTAGAGCTGATTACTACATATTAAAATAAATGGTGTTTCTTCAAGAACACATTATTAAAGTTTTATCAATTTCATATGTAAATGAGTAATTCAGTGGTAGAACATATGTTTCTCATGCGTTAATATTCAAATGTTAACCCTTGACATCTCCATTTTAAAAATAAAATAAAATTCAGAGTTTACTATCCAGAAAGTAATGGACTGATACCTTAAGCAATCTCATTGTTAAAAAAAAACATTCAATAAAAGATATTATTTTCTTTATTTTATGGAATCCCATTCCCCAATTATTAGTTAATTTCAGTACTGCTTTTTCTTTTACTCTGAATCAAGACATCAGCTTCTTTTTTAGTCTTCTCTCGAAGACTTAAAAGAAAATGAGGGTTTATTTTAATTTTAAATTTTACTTTATAATATGTTTGTTATAACAGAACTTTATATTATGCTGTACAGAAACCCTTTTTATTAAATGGACTTCAGATGAAATCTTTCTATGTAAAGACATCATTATAAGGCTAGGATCCTCATGTCCTCTATGCTTGAAGCCAATATGCATATGCTTTGTTAATATGATGTATTTAAAAGCACAAAGTATGTTTTTTTCCAACTGAGCAGGGGGTGATTGTTAACGGGAACTTTTGTAGCAAAATATTATAGGTTAAGATTTGGATTCATTATTTCTCCTGATGAACTGCATTCATTCTAAGAAGGCCAGAATATTTTTTCCCCTCAATAGCTAACAATGTAATGTTAATTAAAATTCCTTGTTTACTATTTTTAAAAATAATCACATTGCAAGAGGTGCTTAGTGCATATTGTCTGTCGAACGAGTTGACTCGTCTATTCTTGTGCATATTTAGTTAGCATGAATCCTGCTGAAATCAAGAGTCTTGAAGATCAATGTTTGTTAAGGTTGAAGTATTTCACATTCTCTGTGTATCTATTTCTAGGGTATTTATCTATTTATGTGGGTTACATACTATGCTCTCAATTCTTGGATGTTTGTATTGTGGATTAGTAAAAAATCATATCTTCATCTCTTTTTCCTGAATTGGAAGTTGGGGGTAAAAGGGTTCTTTTTTGAGACATAAAATTGGATACAAAATGTGCTAGTGTAAATATTTGGCATTATGCCTGTGATCAATTAAAAATATCTGCTTTGAACTAAGGTTTCTTTTTGAACTGGGGCAATCTATCAACATTTCTATAGTTATCTTTTATTACTATCTTGTCTTGAGCCCTTTTTTTAATGACATCTATTATCAGATTGAAATGGCGATTGAGACACTGCAAAAGTCTGATGGTCTGTCCACTCACAGAAGCTCTCTTCTCAACAGCCATGTAAGTTGCCTCTTCTTCATGTAAGCTAATCCTTTACTTATTCTGCATGCTTTGCTTGTCTTCTAAATGCTTGTTTTGTTTTGTCACCCTCCCCCAGCTTCTGAATTTTCCTTTCCACTTTTGAACTCTCATAGCAGCTTTTTTTTTTTTTTCATGCAAGATGTTAGTGCACCAAAATTGTTCGATTTCCCTGCTCTTAGAAGGCTGCTTTTAAGTTTCCTGAATCACTAAAAGCAATTCAGAAGTAACAGTCAGAACACACCTAGGTTAATACGGTCTCCATGTTATTGTCAAACGTGATGGGAATTGTACCGTCATTTGAGGAGCAAAATCTCATAACTCTGATGAAATGCAATCTACAAGCATTTCATACATAAGCAAAACCTGCTTCACTCAACTGTGTTGTATTGTAGTAAGAGAAGGAAAAAGATAAATAACTAACCAAATATTGGTTTAATTTTTGAACCCCATCCAATTTAGTCCTCTGAATCCATGTGGGTTTTATATAAGTTGCTTTTTTATTTGTGTACAGAAAAATGGAGAAAACAATTTCAGTATGAACACATTTCTACCTTTTCAATATTTATGTGCAGTATTCTAGGGTTATTTGACAGGGGTTCTAGAGCAAGGTACAAATGCTACATAAAACATGTATGCCTGTGTGAAGCAACCAAGATTTGCTTTGATGAACTGAAGAGTCTATCAAGCAGTGGTTCAGAGACTGAATATTTCCAGCAAATAATGTTGGAGAAGGTTCCTCCTAACCTTCTCTACCAATCCAGGTCAAAATGCTTACAGGCTACATAGCTTCAGAACTACATTCAGAATGCATTGAAATCACTCAGTCTGGCAGACTTTCAATGCATCTAGTAGGTGGCTTTAGAGTATGCTTCAGAGTGTCTTGTTGACCAAATATCTGCTAGAGGTGAGCCAGCAGTGTCACCCAGGTCCCAGCCAGAACACTTGGTCATTGTATTCTGGAGGAGGTAAGCTGTCAGAATTGATGGGCAAATCTCCTGGCCTGTGCACTCAAGAAGACTGGTGGCCAGAAACTTGACCAGTTAATGCTGGTAGGAGGCAAGTCATCACACCATTTGCTTGCGTGCTTTGCAATAGGCTAACTAGGTGATTGGCAGCAGGCATAGTAGCACCTCTAATCAGCTGAGTGGGACTTTTAACGCTAATTGCAGGATTTTCTTCCACAGCCTCAGAGACTCCTCAATGCCACAGAGAATATTCCTTTCAGACTTTTTTTTTTTAATAACTTGTAAACTTTGAGGAGAAAGGCTGTGAGAAGTGCTCAAAAAAAGCCCAAGTTTCTGTACTTTGGTGTTAGGAATAAAAGGGTGTCTTCCTTTGGAAGTCATCTTCTGGGATGAGTGCATCACTCAAAGCTTCACTGAAGCAAAGCATTCCTTTGAGGATTTGGCAACCTTTGTATAGAGCAGACATGTCAAACACAAGGCCTGCGGGCCAAATCCGGCTCGCCATGTGGTTGCGTCTGGCCCGTGGAGCTGCTCTGGAAACAGCGAAGGACTGGCCCGTGGCACCTTGGACTGGCCCAGGCCGACTGGGCGCTGATTACAACCTGGTGCCAGCCATCAAAGCCAGAATGCACTCAGTCTTAGATCCATGGGGCAGCCCTAGAACCAGCAACGGGCACCCCGCCCCCTTGGGCGCGCATGCAGGAGGCAGCGAGCAGGTGGAGTCCAGCCTCCCTGCTGGCTGTCTTGCCCCGGAGGCTGACTTCACCCAGGACTGCGGCACTCGCCGCCTCCTGTGCACATACCCAGGGGGCGGGGCAGAGGTGTCAGGGTGGTCCCTTGCTGGTTCCAGGGCTGCCCCCTGGATCTAAGGCTCAGTGCATTCTTGCTTTGATGGATGCAACCAGATTGTAGATGACCCCCCCTCCAGCATCTCCATGGCCCACTTGCTGACCTAGCCTCGCAGCCACGAGGCTTCCCTTTCACCAGGACTACCCCTGCTTGTCTGTGGGATAGCCACGGCCACCAACAGCATGGCCACCGGCAGCGCTGGCAATCTCTCCCCCTCCCGTCATTCTTTCCTGAGCATGGAGGAAGGAAAAAGATGGGAATGAGAAGCAGGGAAGAAAGGAGGGGAGGGAAAGAGGAACAAAGTTAGGAAATGGAAATGAGAAGAAGGGAAGGGAAGGGAAGGGAAGGGAAGGAAAAGGAAGGAAGGAAGGAAGGAAGGAAGGAAGGAAGGAAGGAAGGAAGGAAGGAAGGAAGGAGATTATAATGAGAGGGGGGAGGGTCTGAGGGAAGTCCTGCCTTAGCACTTGGCCACAAGCAGCTATGCTGCCCTTTCGCCATCCCCTTGTCCCCTCCTCTTGACCTCTTCTGATGGTCTCCCATCCTATCGCTGTGGATGCGTTGGTTACAAAGCCAGGTCTCCTCATAAGGAGAGGGAGTGGGCCTCCCTCTGACCCACATTTTGCCTTCTTGCAAACACCATGAGCAACTTGGCCAAGGAGACCGAGCCAATCAGCAGCAGCCTTGAGGAGGAGGTAAGTGAAGCTGGACGCCTCCTTGGGAAAGGCTGGACTGTGGATGCTTGCCCTCCACTGCCCAGGGCTCCAGGCAGACTGCATCATGGCCTGAGAGGGATAGCAAGGCTCCTCTGGGGAACAAGGGTATGGTGCTTGCCTTGGTCTCGCTTTCCTTGGCTAGAGACAATGGATCCCCCCAGCCCCGCCCAAGCCGCCACAGGCATTCCCCGATACGAGCAATGTTGAGCTGGCCACACCCACCCTGGCCACCCCCACCCCCGCTATGCCCACCCCAGCCCCACAAGGTTAACCACAACCCTGATGCGGTCCTCAGTGAAATTGAGTTTGACACCCCTGCTATAGAATATCATTTAAGGAGCAGTATAGTCATCTCTTTTAATAGACAGACAGATAATATATTTGACAAAATGACACCAAAGGCAATTTTGATTGAATCAAGATTGAGACAGTTTTGCCACAGGTCCAAATGTTAGTTTCCATCCACTGATTCCATTGGCCCTACTCTAATCTGGGCCAAATTTTAATTAATTAATTAATTGTGTTAATATTTAATAAAGTAACATATTAAGGCCAAAAATAACATAGCTTTACTTTAACTTTCCTTCACAGAAAAATACAGCAAGGGGTTTAGTTGGTGCCTTGGACCACTTGAATAATTTCATATAGATGTTCTCAATTACTTTGTGGTATTTTAGGCACACTTATTGTTCGCATACTAAACATTATACTGGAAAGTTGGTTGCCTTATTTTTTAGCTATAGCAAATTAATGTTATAATTTATATTATTTAGATATGGAATCTATAATACTTCTCTACCTGAAAAAAACCCCAATTTATACAATATTTATTTTTATTTATATAATCAGATAATTTGTAAATTCTTCAATTTACATTGAATATTAATGTACTGGTAGTCCCTGACTTATAACCACAATTGACCCCAACATTTCTGTTGTTAAGCAGGACAGTTGTTAAATGAATTTTGTCCCATTACATGGCTTTTAGATTTAAATTGAATTTTTGTACTGTGCTTTTTTGTTCTGTACTTTTTCCTGAGAATTAAGATGAAAAACTAACATTCAGAACTGGTAGAAAGGGAAGTATTTGTATAAAATAGCAATTAGGATTTGTTTTGGAACAGAATTTCACAATAATGAATCATGCAATTAATTCACATTTTTGGAGTGTGTGCCAATAGCAAAACATTACAAAGCCTTATTAACACCATATTGTGTTTGTTTTTGTTTTTATTTAGTTCCTAAAATTATTATTAATAATTGCTCTTCTTTTTACTTTTTTTTATTGGTGTCCATTCCTTATTTGTGGCACCTGAGTCAGAGTAGGATACATCTGAGCAAGGATGTATTCTGATTCTGATTAGCTACAATACTAATGGCAATCATAAACTCATTCTGTATTAACCTCTGCCAGTTATTTGTTTCTTCCTTGAGATTATTTGGATCCTATTCGCTCAGATATAACTTACCAAAGTTATATCACAGCAGTTTTCCACCCAGCATTTACTTTCAATGGCCTCCCAGGTAAGAGTAATTTTCAAACAGACTCCTAGCTATCAGTGCTCAAAGTGACTTGAAGTTATTAGCCAAAGGTAGATCTTTAAGTTGGTTATCTAAGAACAAATCTTCCAATTTGAAAAATACTTGTCAATGAGTTTGACATAATCTTTAAGAAGGGTCTATTCTAGAGCAACATTTGAGTTGTTGGATTCCAGGGCCAAAGATGGCCACTTCCACCACTTGCTATATCACGAGACTACATACATATGTGGTACCCAAGCCATTGAAAATATTGCTTATGTTTTGTTTGACTGCCCCTCCCTTAGGCTTTGGTACTTATCATTCCCATTGGAAAGAACAGCCACTGGGATCTGAATCATAGATTGCTTTATTTTCTCCTAGGCTCTCGTGTATATATTATAAGCAGAACTGCTAAGTTTGTAATTGAGCTAAGAACCTGATACATTGAATAAATGGGGGTACTCTCTAAGGGTGATGCAGACTCTTTGTATTATCACATATATATTTTATCACTGCATTTTCTTTTATCTATTTTATCCCGGAATCAGATCATGTACTTTTATTTTATTGATATGGTCATAAGACTAATCAGTGAATAAACTATTGCTATTACTATTTCCTCAGACCTATAGTGCACTGTATCCACTATAATTATGTGACAGAGCAGCTGTTTGTTAAATTCTTGATGTGTTGTTATTTCAAATGTGGAATTACATTAATTGTTACTACCTGAAAAATACTGCACTGCTTGTTATAGACCTCGCTGTATGATCTGATGCAGATGATCCTTTGTCAGTGAAATCTGTAAGCAACATTCTTAAGAGGATTCCTTGACTGGGCTGTGTCAGCCATAGCTATAGCAAGTGAATGGATTGAGAATTAATTAAAGATGGATCATCTATCAGAGGCAGCAGCTGTCTAGGCTGGGAAGTTAAGCAGGGGTACCTCTAGTTAATCTGTAAGTGTGAGACTACCAAGGAATACTAGGATTGTAGGCTTGATTGAGAAAAGTCAGAAAAGATCCTAGAAGAAGGCAGTGGCAAACTTATTTCCATATCATAGCCAAAAAAACCTATACAGACAAGTTTGCCAGGAAGCGGGAAGAGACTTTATTTTTCATGATCCATCTAGGATAAAAAAAAAAAAGTGACATGCATAATTTGTAGTTTGCCATTAATTACTAATCAGTATTTACCAGACAGACACACCCATCGAGCTATTGCATTTCAGCATAAGCAAGGTTATGCAAAACACAGAAAGTAAGTAATTTCATTTCGGCACAAATAGGAAGAGTGTGGCTACTTCAATCCATTCTGGTTAATTTTAATGTATTATGTGCATTAAGCTACTATATTCTTGGTTTCTGACCTGAGATATGCTGTTCAATTCGTTAGGGTATTTAACAAAAGACAATGGTTTTGATTTCCCTTGCTCCATATCAGCATTCTGATAGCAATTAGAGATCAGATTCTCTGATCAGCTGTACAGAGAATGAAAACATGAAATGTCAGTAACAGTGAATGTGAGAGACAAAAGAGACTGATGCTTAGTTGCAGAGGGAAAGACATGGAAACGAGCTTGCTGAATTGTGAGGCAGAGGTAAATAAATGTTCTTATCAACCGTAAGCTCAGTCAGTAATTGTCAACTTTTGGTAATAACTATCCTTCCAAAATTACAATAAAGGTTTAGTTGGTATGCAATTTTGTCAACATTTTGAGCTTGACGGTGTAGCATTGCTCATATTCATAAAACTGTTAGTATTTTGAAAGATACCAATGAGATTGTTTATAATAATTTTAAGTAACTGAACAAAATCACATGTTTGTATGTTTTAATACTATTGTCAATTACTATAAAGCTAATGGAATGTATATTGGCACTTTCAGATTATTCACTATAAACTTCATTTTCACTGTTGAAAACTATTCCTGTTTTGTGTAGGAAACTCATACTGCTAGTTATTAGAGAGCAATTGGGAAACCTAGAGGTTGCGTATCTCTGCTAAAGGTGATCTGCAATAAGCAGGTTGACTATACAACAGCATATAGCACCCATTATTCTGTTCCACTGACTTGATTAAAGTGGTGCTTTTATAGCAGCATGGAGAAAAACTGCACAGCATGCTAGGTCAAAAATGAAACTATTTTTCAATCCACCTTTCTAATTTTAACATGTGACTGTTTTGATTAGCTGTTTTCATCTACTTTATCTTTATTCACTGATTTCCACATAAAGTTTTTATTATAATTGCCAGGGATGCAGCAGAATTTTTACTAGGCCTGATGTACAGGTAGTCTTTGACTTATGACCACAATTGAAACCAAGATCTTGGTCGTTGAGTGAAGTGGTCATTAAGCGAGATGTCACGTGACTGCTTTGCTCAACAAACATAATCCTGGCACTCCTGACTGAGGTCATTAAGCAATCTTGCAGGTCATTAAACGGGCTAAATCCAAGGTAAAGAGTGTAGGATGCCACATGAGAGGTAGGGGAGAGCACTGAAATTCTCCCTGCTGAATCCATATAAAATTTTTCAGGATGGACAGTCACATGGCACTCTGTACTCCTTTCCTTACCACACTGCCTCTCTCCCCAGGACCTGGAAATCCTACCTGCTGAAATCCAATCCTCCCTCAGGATTCGAACTCAGTTTCTGCACCCCACCAAAAGATTCATCTCCCTTCTATGTGCATGATGTCACATGATGTCACCATGTGCATGACATCACATGAACACAGGTTGCTTAGCAACCAGTCATAAATGTGAACAGATTGCTAAACACCCAGATCACAATCATGTGACCACAGAAATGGTAGCGCAACATTTTATAACAGCTGGAAGTGTTTATAGGCTGTCGTATGTCAAAGCTCATACATGGACTTTTCAAAGCCATTGTAATTCCTGACCATCATTAAACAAACACACACAATAGCAATAGCACTTAGACCAGGAGTCTTTAAGCGTGCCTGGCTGAGGAATTCTGGGAGTTGAAGTTCACAAGTAATAAAAGGGCCAAATTTGAAGACCCCTGACTTAGACTTACATATCCCACTTCACAGTGCTTTACAGCCCTCTCTAAGCAGTTTACAGAGTCTAAGATTACCTGTACTTAATGGCCTGGATCATTTCACTGCATGTATAATTCTACTGTCAATTGGAACTTTTTAGAGTTTTCAATGTTTGCATTAATTTTTTCTCTAATGGCCAGGGACGTAGGCATTAGTGACACTAACTATCAAGATTGATAGGGAGAGACCCCTTCGTTTCTTTCGGGAGTTTTGACATTCAAAGTTGTTTGATGACTAGAGTGAATTAACAGCTCTACTTCATCACTAAAGGCAATGCAAATTCCATTGCTTTATATACAGTAATTCATTTTTCCAAGAGGCCTAGCACAGATGGGTGCTGCTTATACATCAGATTGCTTGTTTTATAATAAATTCATGGCTATTTTCAGTTTCCTCAGCTTTAATGTACAATAAGTAGGAAATGTTTTTGAAGAATAAAAAAAAATCTTCTATAGCACCATCAATATTAAAATCCAAGGTTAGATAGATATTGTTTTTCTCTGCTACTACAGAGAATAGAGAAATGAATGTATTATTCCATGATGCTGCTGGCAAAGGAACTTTTAGAAATAACAACAACAACAACAACAATTAGTACTACCACTAAGCTTTCTATTGCACCTGTGCATGATTTACTCAGATGTCACCTTATTCTGGCTATGTTGCTACAAAATGTGTTATTTTTCCTTGTCTCTTTTGATAGTGTGATTAAATGATTCAGTCACACCCCAAACAGAGATGCATCAGAACCACCTGTTGTCAGCTGAATCCTTATAGTAACTCTGCAGAGTGAAGTGGAAGAGGGGGTGCTATTTGAAGACATGCCATTTTTACTTTCAAAGTATTGGGACATTTAGATTTTGGCTTAATTAAGGAATCCTAACCCTTTCTAAATGTTTCCATTTCATTAAAGCTATGGTGCAGTTATTAAACAAGATATTTTATGCTCTCTCATGATAAATGTGGCCTATTTTATATATTATGGAACTGACTTTTTGCTTTCTCCATTGATAAATGAACTCTGCTCCATGTATATCACAAGTATGTAAAATATACTGCTTAACAGGCAGTTATTAATATTAAATATAGGCCTGCCTTGTTTCACATGTGAAATAAATAAAATTGTTGAGAGAAATAGCTTACAGGGCCAAATGGAATTTTCAGTGAAATTAAATACTTTATCACTTGTAAGGGCAGATTTTGCTCTTTAACAAAGCAAAATACAGTTATTATTCCAGTAAAATTGTGCAATAACCTTAAACTTGCTAGTTCCATAATACACAGACTACATTCACTTCATAAATATCATTTCATTTTTGCTTGTATAAACTACCTTCAGTATTGCTCAAAGGGCCAATACTTTTTCTCTAAGTATATATTATTTCACTTTAAATGAAATTGTTGAAGTATTTAGTGTTGTCTAGGGTCATAAGTGGGTTCTGCTTTTTTCCCATTATCTGTAAAGTTATAATGAAGTAATACACTAAGCTTTATTGAATTATCCTGGAATTGGAAGAGGGGGCTAGTTCAGATAATAACTATTATTTAATCTCTAATGAAGCCTCTTAACAAGCCTTTGAACTTGTTTTATTTTTATTTTTCTTTGTCCCTAAATTGAAATAGCTTCAATGGCTTTTAGACAACTATGAAACAGCAGAAGGAGTGAGCCTTCCCAGAAGCACTCTCTACAACCATTACCTGAGACACTGTCAGGAGCATAAATTGGACCCTGTCAATGCTGCTTCTTTTGGAAAACTCATACGGTCAATTTTCATGGGCCTGCGGACCAGAAGATTGGGAACCAGGTTGGTGTGAGAAAATCAAGGTTTGGGTATAAGCGTTACTTCATCTAAGAGCAACTGTAATGCATCAAGGCCAACATTAGCATGTAAAAAGAATCTCATTAGATCAAGTCAAAGTCTGATCAAGTTGTATAGCCTTTTCCCCACTATAATTTGAGGAAGTGGTATTTATGGCATTGAGTCTGCTAGTGCAGTAAAGCCATCGAGGATAGTTATCATTGATAGTTGTACGCCACATGCATTTATTTTTGGGCAGACTTTTAAAAAATGTGGTGTAAAAAAAAATATTGTGTAAAAAATTATTTATTTTTAATTGTCCTGAATGTTCTCGCATATTGTTTCAATGTGTAACTCAGACAAGTAATATGAGAAAAAGAGAAAAATATTGTCCACATTTTCCACTTAAGCATGCTTTTATTTCCCTTTTTATAACCTTTCTAAGCTATAGATACTATGGTCTTCCAGAGCGTAATACTTTAGACATCTAATTATTTGGGGACTCTTTATGTACCTTTATCAGCTTTCCAACTACTTTATTTTAGAGACTTAGTGGCTCAAAATTTGCACAATATCTCCAAAGTGTTTGCACTGCACAATAGATTCACTTGTTGGAAATGTTATTTTCAGTTTCTCTTGTAGTGATTTGTGACTTAGAATTTATTGCTGCCTGGTGGAGTTTTTTAAAGGTTGACTTAACTGTTCCCCATAACTCAAGGGGGGGGATAATTACTGCCAGTTCAAAGCACATTAGCATGTATTTGAGATTTGGGTTTTATGCTCCAGTGTAGATCATGTTGCATTTAATTACATGAAACTGCATCTACTATTTTGAGTTTATTCACCTACTTCAATCTTCATGAATAATTTGATATAAACAAATTATAACCTCATTACTTGCCCCTAATTCTAGTAGTCCCAAAGAGAAATCCTTGAAAGCCACTTCGTACATGTCTTTCTTATAAAACTTGTCTATCCACTTCTATTGATTGATTACTGTATCTGTTACTGGTCCATGAGAAGACTTACCACTTACCTCATGAATGCCGGATTTGCCAAGGAGCTTGGTGGGCATCTGTCAAACCGTTTTGGAAAACTAGGTGTACATTATTATGTCATTCCATCTCCATGTTTAATAAAGTCTGGAAATTTAGTGAGAACATCTACATTTGTAGAAGCTGTATTGGCTCTTTTTTAGCAAGGCCTATTTTGTTTCTCTATCTGACTTTTCTTTTAATCATAATGTTCTACCAGTACATATAGAATAATGGTCTAATTACAGGTAGTCCTCAACTTGCAACCACAATAGAGCCCAAAATTTCTGTTGCTAAGTGAAACATTTGTTAAGGGAGTTTTGCCCCATTTTACAGCCTCTCTTGCCACAGTTGTTAAGTGAATCACTGCAGTTGTTACATTAAGTAACATGGTTGTTAAGTGAATCTGGCTTCCCCATAGACTTTGCTTGTCAGAAGGTCACAAAAGGCAATCACATAACTCCGGGACACTGCAGTTGTCATAAGTACATGCCAGTTGCCAAGTCCACGGAGATGCTGCAACAGTCGTAAGTATGAAAAATGGTTCTAAGTCATGTTTTTCAGTGCTGTTGTAACTTTGGTCCCTAAATAAATGTTTGTAAATTGAGGACTCCCTGTAATACACGTATTTTCTGTTGACCCTCCTAGGCTGTGCAATTTCATGTATCTACAGAAATAAGTTTTTGATGGCAATTCTATATAACAAATAAAAGGTCTTAAAGTTTGTATATAGTGGCATACAATTTTTGCCTCCCTCCAAACGTTTCTGCACTTGTTAGGGTTGGGTGCTGCCTTAACATGATGATTCTAGTTGCTACAGAGCTCCAGGCCTGGTTTTAAGCCAAGACAGGAATCACACCTTAATACGCTGCTTACCATTATTTAATTTTCTACTTTTGGAGGCTGTGCTAATTTTAAGGAGTCATTGCTTTTTCATACATAAGACTTATGTGTTCTTCACTGTATACTATCCAGATTTAGGGATTAGTTTATTTTTCATTTGTCATTTAGAAGGTCAGTTCAGCTGCAACTAGAACAGCGAATGTAAAGAATTCATTTACATCCCAATTCAATCTCCTTCAACGGTGTTTTTTTTTTTTAAAAAAAAATGTTTGTCTTATAGTTCTTTTCCATATATTTCATAAAGTATTTTTCTCACTTCTTTGGAGTCCTTTTTATTTTTATTTGGGCAAAATCCATGTTTAAAAGAATTAATTTCTCTAAGAAGTTCTCTGGCTATGCTACCAATTGGTGTCATAGTAATATCTTGGATTTGGTAATATCATTTTGATCTAACTATTCTTTTCAACTCTGCTTCTATTATTGTGGTTTTAAATAAACTTCAAGCGTGATAGAAAGGCTCTATCTGCAGGTGCAGTAAACAGAAATTGAATCATGCAAATATACTTACGGTAGGAACAGAAACATTGCAGACGTACAAAAACATATTTTCAAGATATACCTAAAAAAGCTAGCAGTGATGAATTATCAAAACTGAAGAAGCTTCTTGGATAAGAAGCAAAATATTTTCAAAGAAAAAAAAACAAAGTCCGGGTGCCTTTTGGAAAAAAAGCACCTTTGGGACAACCCTAATCTGGATGATTAAGAATACCCTTAGAAAGTGACTGACTGGGAAAGAGGATATGGAGATGGGGCAGATAGAATAGAGAAAACATTGACCCATTGGGTATCAGAGGGCATTGTATCAATTTATGGAGGGTAAATGTATTTATTTGATTCAATTTTTTTCAGTGCCATCTGACTCCAAATTGACTCTGGGCAGCTTGCAGTACAGGAAAAACTGGGTAAAATATAATAGGGTAAAGAAAAATAAAACAGAATAAATAAACAAGATGGCAAATCCGGACAGCCATTCTGCAGCATATTATACGCATCCAACAAGGGGTTCCATAAGTTATTAATAACTACAAGTCATAATGGCTATATTCTGAGTGTCAGTTGTAACAGGACAATAAGCAATTTAAGAAGCGTTGCCTTCATATAGGACAATAAATGAGAAAAATATTATCTTCATATTGACTTCCTATATACCATTCTGGTTATGGTTTCTCTGTAGATAGTTCTTTGGCTGCTATGGAAACAGGATGCTGAACTTATCTAGTATTGCATTTCTCATATTCTCTAAATGTCCCTGTGAGAAGTAAACATGCTTGATGGTCTTCAGAAACCCTGGAGTACAGTTAGAGTATATGAATAGATTTATGGAATACAGGATTTCAGCATGGCTAGCTAGTTAGAACCCAAACAGGAGCTTTGTTTGGACAGCTATAAAAGGCAAGTGTGTTGGTAATCAAAATAAACCTTAGATGTGTGCGTGTGCGTGCACACATGTGCACGCATTCATATGGTATCTTCTGCTTGTTACCTTTTGTTTTGCTTAGAAGGGAGAGTTGGAATATCAGCCATTCCTCTATGAACTGCCTATTTGGAAGCAGCCTTAATGCTAAAAAGCTCAGGATCTGTGCTATTTCAGCAACCTCCCAGTGGTTGTCTATTGATTGTTGGTTGCTTTTTCTCAAAGGGGGAATTCCAAATATCACTATTATGGGATTCGTGTCAAGCCAGACTCTCCTCTTAATCGACTACAAGAGGACATGCAATATATGGCTATGAGACAACAACCCATGCAGCAGAAACAAAGGTAAAATATTCTTAAAATAAGTACTTTGCAGGTAGTAGATTTTAATGTTGGTGGGGAGAGGACATTGCAGTATCTGAATTGTATGACAAATAAACTTGAGCAACAGGACCATAAATTGTGGACTTTGATAAATGGAATGTGTAGAAAACGAAAATATTGGCTATTGTTTTTCTATTCAACATTTAGGCCCAGGTGAACTAAATCAGGCCTCATGGAAAAAGTATTGAACCAAAGTCTGTGCTATGCAGTCCAGGGGAACTATTTGTAATATAAACTGCAATTGTACTTTACTTAATATGATTTTGCTAAGCTTGCTTGTTTCAAATATATTTAGAACATAAGGACTGGAACTGTGAGAAATGGGGAACTGAAAGTAGTTGATGGGTGCGGGTTCAGATGTACATGGATATGAAGAAAGTTATGGTCAGCAGAAAGTCTACAGAAAGTGCAAGGTTGCTGACCATCTGTCTATGGTCTTAGGATGAGAAAAGGTATAAAAGGTTGGGAGTGGACCTGATTGATTTGCCATTGGCCAATAGCCGTCCTTGTTGGATCTGCTATGTCATTGGACCTCATTGCAATGGGTTGTTAATGTAAGTGATGTTATGATGTTTGCTTATGTTCCAAATTATTACTGAAATAAACCTCTGAATCTTAAAGTGAGAATTATTGTTTTGTGTTGCTGTCTCTTGTTTCTTTCATTGGGTTTTTCCGCGACAATGTTTTTGATTGATAGTCCTTGCTTAACAACCTTAATTGGGCCCGGAATCTCCATCATTAAATGAAGCAGTTGTTAGGCGAAATATCATGTGACTGCACTGCTTAGCAATTGCTGGTGTAACGATCCCATTTGCAGTTGTTAGGCAACTCATACTTCTCCTGCGCTGCCATACTTGCCTCCACTTCAGTTCCCCCACCCACCTATCTTCCCTCCTATCTCTGCCCTATGAGCCATCTTGCACTGCCCATGTCTGCTGCTCCCAGCTAACTCTTGCCCTCTTCTTCCTCCTGCTGCTGGCGAGAGATGCTGAGGCAGCTGCTGGCCCCTTTGCACCTAGCTTAATGAATGGTTGTTAAATGAGGATTACCTATATTGTACCAGTCAGAACTGGACATGGCATTGCTGGTGCAGTCTGACCAGTGGAGCAAAGAGTGGTACTATCACTTCCTGTGATTTTGACACTGTACCTCTGTTGATGCAGCCCAAAACTATATTGGCTCTATTGGCAGTAGTGCCACATTGCTGGCTCATGCTTAATCCAGGGCACTTGGGTCCTTTTCACAACTATTACAGCCCCTATACCTTTTGCATCTAATTTTTCCTAAGTGAAGAACCTTACGTTTCTCACCATTGAAGTGGGCCTATCTTCAAGGTGCTAACAATGCTTTCTTGCCAACTTTGTATATTGTTGCTAAAAAAAAACTATGTAGGTATGCCTGTGGAGTCACTGAGAGACATGTTTAAATTAAAGGAGATGCTACTGTTCAGGAATTATGTGCCGTGTTTTAAATTAATAATATTAATCTGACTATCCCTGGTTCTTGGGAAGGACTTGATACAGGGATAAAAAATGCCAAATTCAATGTAAACATCTGGCTGATTGTGCGACCAACCACAATAATAATATATGATGCTATTCTTTCTATAAAAAAGAATTTCTTAAATTCTCAGTACTTTACCTTAAGAGAATCCTTTCAGCTTAGCAAAAACTTTCATGTGGTTACGGGGATTGAACGAGACTGTTTTTAAAAGGATGTAGAAAGTATGCCACTCCAGGCTTAGGATACCAGTCTAACAAAAAAAAAAAAGTGATTGTTAATCAAAATGTATCTGTGCAACAGTTGCATGAAAAATAAGAAGAGCCCCGTTGATTCAGGTCAAAGTTCATCAGGTCCAGCATTCAATTTTGCACACAGATGTCTTTAGGGTGCTTGCAAGCAGGAGATGGAGATCCACTTTTCTCTTGGCTACTGTTTCCCTGCTAGAAATGTTTCCGTGCTCCTTTCCACAAGAATTCCAGAAGCTATTCAAACTCTGCGTGAAAAAGTAACTTTGATTGTTCTAAATCTTTTCCTCAGTTTCACTAGATGAATCTGGTCCCAAGTATTTCAAAAGAAGGAGAAATATATATATATATCCCTGTGCTCCAGGCTATCTTCCTTTCCAATCATATCTTCCCTGGGTTTTTTTCTCCTAAGCTAAAAAAAATCCCAAAAAAACTACACTTTTCTCAGAAGAAACCACTCAATCGTTTGCTCTTTTGCATTTGTTTTATATATCTTTCCCAGAAACAGATTTATCGTAGCTTTATATGAGCATTACAGTGTTGTCAGTTCTATTTTCAATCCCTTTCCAAATGTTTCTGAGCCTGGAAGTTTGCCTTTTTCATGGCTGCGCCATTCTGAACTGACATTTGCATTGAGCTATCCAGTGTGATGGCAAGTTTTCCGCCCCCCCTCTCATTTAATTAAAGTTCAGCTCAGATTGTATCAGTTTATACTTGAAGTCTTTGCTCCAGTGTGCATCCCTTGAATTAGAATTGCCATTTGGTTAATTACTGATACAGTTGAAAGACATCCTTCTGGGTGGTCTTTGCCGCTCTGACCTCTGCAGATTTGGGTAGCTCACTGCATACTCCTATATCAAGATAATTTATGGACAAATTAAAAAAGCCCCAGCCTCAGTACAGATCTTTGACTGGGACTGAACTGTTGGCTGAGAATTTCTGCCCAATTGTTAATCACTTCATCCAGTGAGTTGGCTGCAGTTGTTAGGTACCCTTTCTCTCAAACTGGCCCTTAGAAGGGGAGGATATGCTGTACATATCCTAGTCAACCAGGAAAAAAAAAACACACAGCCTCTCCCAGTTAGCCAAATTACCCTCTTAAATGTGTTTGTACAATACAATTATGACAATTTGCATGTAACACACTATTTCTGTTTGCATGTTCTGGTCATCAGCTCCCAATTACCCTCCTCTTTCTAAGGAATGCTGACTGGGACTCACTGTTCCTAAGACTTTATTTATTTATTTATTTTTACAGCTTATTATTTCAGGGTTGTTGGTTTTTTGTTTTTTTGTTTTTGGACTGCTACTTTTTTGTTATAATTAAGAAGGCGAATACTCAAAAAGCTTCAGTCTATTCTGTGCTCTTTAAGAGGACCATTGACTGCAGTAGCTAGGTTAGTAAATATTTTGTGGAGGCACAAATTAGCCAAAATAGCAAACCCAGCTGCTCTGTACTGTTTTCATTTTCCATGTCTTCGGTTTTAGCAGCGCTGGAAAAAGAATTAACATTGACAAAGCATTAAATCAAAGCATTGGGGGAAAGTGGCAGGTTCTTCTATTATCTGTTGCAGTGTTGTCTGAAATCCTTTAGAAATAATAATCTGTGATGTGTTTTAAGAGTCACTGTTATAAGCAGTATCCTTTCAACCATATTTTTTAAGCCTCCTGATTTATTACCGCTCTGCTCAGTTAGCTTGTTTTTAAATAGAGGCTGTCCTTGAATTTAGATATTATTTTGAATTTAATTAATTTGGATCAAAGTGCAACCATCTCGATGTGCCTAAACATGTTTGTAAAAAGCTCTTTCCCCATAGATGCTGCCTCCTTTACTAAATGAGGACGTACTATCTTTTGTCTACTCCAGGATCACCTTTTGCCACCTTCTGACAAGCAAAATCAATAGGGAAGCCAGATTCACTTAAGAATCATGTTAATAATTTACTTGTAGTGATTCACCTAGCAACTGTGGCAAGAAGGTCATAAAATGGGGCAAAATTCATTTAACAATTGTCTTGCTTAGCAACAGAAATTTTGGCTCAATTGTGGTCCTAAGTCCAGGACTACCTGTACTCACTACTCAACACTATTCCATTCTTCCCCACTGCTGCTACTCCTATTCCACCTACTATTCCTTATGAGTCCTCCAGTACTTCTTGGGAACACTGTTAGAGAAAATTACCTTTTGGGTTGCTTTAGTTCCACACACAAACACACACACCCCACTCCCTTGCTCCTCTTCTTCCCCCTCCCAATTGTCCTCTTTTAAAAACCACTCAGCTTTTTAAGCCAAATTTGTTGTGCTGGCTGGCTTAAATAGACAGGAGGACAACAGCACAAATGCAGGCCATTTTCTGGGCAGCCTGTTCTTTCTCTCTCTTTTTATCAACAACTTTGGATTTTGAAATAATTCATTTAACATGTTGATTTAATTGTCATGTAATAAACTTCTCTTCAAAGAATCCTTTAGAAGCAGCTAGGGACAGCTTGTAACATTTGCAGTAAAGCATTTCTAGGAATGTTGCCATTTGCTATGTTTAACAGTAACCACAGACTTTTGTCAAACATAAAAAGGTATCTGATTAATCATCTAAATCAGCGGTTTTCAATCTTTTCTTCACCATGGACCCCCTTTGAATAACTTTTGAGGCCACGGACCATGTCCGCAGTGCACCAAGACCTTACTCAAGATTTAAATCATTGCATTTCTTTCAAACCTTCGGGGACCCCCTGTGACAACATTGCAACCCCCCCCCCAGGGGTTCACAGACCACAGGTTGAGAACCACTGGCCTAAATCATCATCCAGTTATTTCTATTCTGTTTCTAGAATAAGTGAAGTGAATAAATACATACTTGTAAAATAAAAAAAAATAAGCTGAATTTGATGTCAATAGTTTATAAAGAAACCAAGGTAAAACAGAATAAATTCAGATTTAACTGGATTGTATCTAGAGCAGACATGTCAAACACAAGGCCCAGGGGCTGGGCCAGCTGGTGGTCGGCCTGCTCCGTCTCTGCCGCTTGCCAGCTACGCCTCGGCCGGCGCAGGGGGCGGAACCACACATGCGCGGCGCTCCCGGGCAGGGAAAGTCCTCGACTTATGACCCGTTGGGTAGTCCTCAACTTACGACCGGTTTAGTCCTCGACTTACGACCGGTTTAGTCCTCGACTTACGACCAGTTTAGTCCTCGACTTACGACCGGTTGGGGTCGCGGCATTAAAAAGGTTGAGAACCACTGAACTAGGACAATATAAAAGCTGGAACTTTAAATATCTCTTATTTGCCTAGTAGCTGATTAACTCCAATGACTGGATCACTTGTATTTGTTGTAAAGATATGCATGCTGCTCTAGCCGAAAGGGAGCTCAGGCTGCAGTTGTTGCCTCAAGAAGGGACAGGAGAAGTATAGGATTTTGCTGGACTTGACGAGAATTAAATAAAGGCCAGCAGGCCACTCAACAGGCTTTCTTCCTGAGTTCCTTTCCTTAGCTATTTCTCTTCTTTGGAAAAAGAATTGAGAACTGGGGAGAGAACCATGAGCTTTTGGGGGACACACTGGTGTCAACCTGTGGATCTGCTCTACTACGTTAATTAAGAGAATCCATACAATGAAGGGGTAGCAAACTTTTCATTTTAAATAAAATAGCTGGAAGATCCTGGGAATTGATATGTGCAGTTTGAACATACACTGAAAATTAAAGCTAATTCAGTTCTGTAATTATCTCATAATCCCCTGGCTTACCGTATAGTGTTAAAAGAATTCAAAGCCATCTATAATCATGCCGCCTACATGCATGCCACACGAAGTACCTATAGAAAAGCAAATGCTGACATTTATGCTGAACAGTGGAAGAAAACAGTTACCTTTTTCACTGCTTACTTCATGGAATGCATCCCAAACATTTCTGAAAACAACGTAAAGATAAATCATTTTTCTGGGGGGGGGAACCCCTCACCATAGTAATCTTATAAATGCTACATTGCCTATGTTGCCTTTAATATATTTTAGGTACAAGCCTATGCAGAAAGTGGATGGAGTCTCAGATGGCTTTACAACAAGTGGTCAGCAAACAGGCACATCTGTTGAACAAACTGTGATTGCTCAAAGTCAGCATCATCAACAATTTTTAGGTATGTGGAAAAAAAATCATGGTCATCTTTAGCTAAAATACAGAACAGTGGAGGTTTTTTTTTTTAAAAAATAATCCATTGTAATTAATAGGACTATTTTAGAGAATTTAATAGGATTGCTTCAACATGATAACAAAACAGGTATTGAATGTTTCATTAGGTTTGTAGGTCAAGTGCATTTTTTAACATCCTTTTGTTGTTGTACTGGAGAATTAAGACTGTTTTACTCCTCTGTCCTATGACTGTACTCTCTGGAATAGATAGGTTAATTTAAAGCAAGGCTGAGAATTTCTAGATGTTGCTTAACTGTACTGGCATTTCTGGTTACACTGGCTGGGATTGTAAAATCTGCAGCTGTCAAGCACAAAAGATCAGGTCCTCACGTCCAATTAATCTAATTTATTGCTAAAAAGCCTATGCACAGAAAGTTTCTCAACCAATGGCTCACACTTGCTTGGAGTTAGATAAGGGACAACAGAATTCAAGGGAAGTTGGACTTAGTTTGGTTGTGGCTATGAGGTATTCTTGATAGATCCCTCTTTTAACTCTGCTCCTAGGTTCTTTTCCTACATAGGGTAGGATATATTCAGTGCTATTGCTAAAATATTGCCTTTGCACAAATATGTGCAACGTGAACTATTTTAGAATTATTTGTTCTCTGAATCAGTTAATGTTAATCACTGATTGTGTATGTGTGTACACTCGCACATATACAGTATGCATAAATGTACACAATTATTGATCTATGTTAATGCCACTTTCACAGAACGTTCTCCTGAATATTCAGGGCTACTGAGAGTTGTATATTCTTTTCAGCTGGGCAATTCATAGTCTAAGAATCAAATTTAATACATTAATAAAATGTAGAGGAAGCAGTGGGAAATAGATAATTAAATGATGAATATCTTGGCTCAGCCAAAGCTGGCATACAGAGAGATAAGGTAGTCCTGTCAGAAGATGCCATACCATTACCTGAGAAGAGTGCAAACCAGGATACACTGCCTGAGGAAATTAAAGCTCCCTGTCTTTGAGACTGTATTTTCAAGAATTGATAGTGTTTTCTTCAATGGCATTGAGTCTGAAAAATTGGGTATGCCACAGATGTAATATTTTAGTGAGTCTCTGTTATTGCAGGCAATAGCTCTGAAGAAATTCATCCTGGCTAGAGAGAATTTAGTGAATCTCTGTTATTACAGGCAATAACTCTGAAGAAATTCATCCTGGCTAGAGAGAATTTAGTTAAATATATAGGAATTCTACTAACCAGGTCTGCTATTGAGTTTGGCCAAGGGCAATGGTTAAGATGCATTCAGATCAAATCCGTTTATTTTGCAGTTATTAACTACAGCAAATATGACAATAGGCATAAAGAAGAGACTAAAAGGATTAAAATTGGCGACTTTAAGACACTTTATTTCTGTATCTCAACTGAGAAGGAATTAAGCAAATGCAATTTTAGCTGTGTGAATTTTAGAATGTGTTTCTCAATTCAAGGGAAATAAAAGCTGTGCTTTGTTCTGTAGTGATTAGACCTTATCTGAAGTGGTGTATTCACTTTTACCTTCACTTTCAAATAGATATACTGTAAATACACTATAATGGGGTAGATGAGGTCATTGAAAATGATCAATGATATATAAAACATAATTGTATGAGGAAAGATGGGAAAATTGTATATGTTTATACTGGAGGACCACTGTTCATATACCTGGAAAGCTGGCATATAACAGGCAGAAAAGTCTTTTATAATTCCTAATAGATCTGGAATAGATCCGATGGATTAATTTTAAAAGAGGTTAGAACATAATAGAACATTAAGAGAAACATTTCCCTCTGTGGACATATTCTAGCTCTGTATTTCCTGTATCAAATCACACCCTTTCAAAATTTATTTTATTATTCCATTGAACGCAGCACATGTTCAACAGCTTTGGTGATTTTGTTTAAAATGTTTAATTTAGAGTTATAGACTCTTGATTCAAACTGCAAACAAATTAAATTATACATCATCTTGCCAAATATTTCTGCTTTTGGTTTTGAATCCGACACATAGGCCTTTGGGGTATTTATTTCTTAATATTATTCATTGTTTTCTTAATGATATTATGACTGACACAGTCCACAATATATTTCTTCTATTGGGTTGTCATGGATACAGATGCATCTCGAGCACTTCCAGAGTTTGGAGAAGTTGAAATCTCTTCGCTGCCAGATGGTACTACTTTTGAGGATATTAAGTCTTTACAGAGTCTCTATCGAGAACACTGTGAGGTAAGGAAGAGGGAGTCTACAAAACAAGCTATTTTACTATTGAATCCCTGTTATAAAATACAAAATACCAGTTGTGACACAGCAAGTGTCACAGAAGTATCTGTTTTCTGAAAAATCATATGTTGCTAAGTGAACGAATGTTTCATATAATATATATTGTGTGTCTAAAAAAAGATGTGGGCGTAGCCGAAGAATAGAAAGCTGGTTTTGCTTTGTAAAGTCTTCCTTGCATTATTTTCAGTTCTGCCAGCATAAAGATCAGCCATGGTTAAGCAGTGACAAAAGACTCTGAATATAAAACAAAATCAGTGTTCAAACAATATGTCTCGAACCCTGCTGAAAGATCTGGAGCATTATATGATTACTGGATGAAGCAATTATTTTAACGTGAATTATCTAGTCAGTAACTGAGGATCTGGCCTACATTCTAGAATGTGGGGAGAGAGAAGCCCATTGCCACTAGCCATTAGGACTTACTTTCACCTTTGCACATCAAGCACAGCTACTACCAGGGGATTGGGGAATGATCCAAAAGACCTAGACAACATCAGGCCACTCACTTCTGTTGTAGAAGGTGATGGATTCAAGAATTACTTTGTACTTTATGAGGAGAGCACCTTTTGCTGTCTGGAACTCCAGTCAACTGTTAGAGGCGGACAGTGTCAACTTAGACATCGACATTGTCTCCTTTCTCAGTTGATAATTATGGAACTCCTTTAAAATTACTACCTGCCTGACATTATTTAATTTATGTAGGTCAGCCTTTCCATTGTAATTTACTGTCTGTAATTTTACGGAACTTCTGTGTAAGGCGGGATAAATTATTTTTTCTTCATATCAGAAATTATTATAAAGATAATCCTTGTGAATGCCATGCAATACATCTGCTTATGAGAATGACCAAATCAAACGACCCAACCACTGCGTAATTGTGCAGTACAAAAATTTTTTATTCGGAAATGAGTCCCACTGAGATTGCTGGGGTTTATTTCCTTATAAACGGCAGCCATGATATTTATCATTAAATAAAGACAAAATGCAAACCCGTATTTGCTTTGGATTTTCAGGCAATATTGGATGTTGTAGTGAACCTTCAGTTTAGCCTAATAGAAAAATTGTGGCAGACTTTTTGGCGCTATTCTCCCTCAACAACTGATGGCACTACTATCACTGAGCCAAGGTTAGTATTTACCTGAGCCCTTGGGTATTTGGTTTATAAATAAACAAAACAAAATCTGCCTTTTACATCCAAAGGAATGCTGTCCTTTAAATTATTAAAATAAAAAAGTTTCATTTTGTTATGAGGATTGCAGCATATAGTTATATGCATATCATTTTATTTTCTGCGAATAGGACCCAGTTATTTTCTCATGGGATAATTCCAAATTCAAAGGCCATTCTTATCACTGCTGCATAAAACTCTGCACCTTGGTTAAAACTATGGAGGCCAGGTATCAGCCATTACAGCACAAAATGCCTCAGGGCAACTAAAGTGTGTTTTCAGACATCTCTAATGGTTTATTTGTAAAAGCTTTGAAATCCATTGTTCTTTTTTAATCTTCATGTAAATGCATTTTCATTTATTCATTTAATACATTTGTTCACACCAGCAATCTGAGTGAAATAGAAAGTCGACTTCCGAAAGCAAAGCTGATAACTCTGTGCAAAAATGAGTCAATTCTGAAATGGATGTGTAACTGTGACCATGTGATGTACCAGGCTTTGGTGGAGATTCTCATTCCAGACGTCCTTAGACCTATTCCTAGTAAGTTGAATATAGATGACGTCTTGTAAGGATTTTTTTTTCCTACTGGTGATCTTTTGCCTATTGTACCTCCCAAGGAATCCGCTAGGAGTGTTTTTCAAAGCTATAGGAATAGTGTGAGTATAATCGTTTTTATCTGGAGTGTAGAAAAATACAGTAATAAATGTTTGATAACTCTTTTTAAACCTAGATTTCAACATCTAGCAGATATTATTTGAATTGTGGGGTTGGGATTTTTATTTTTATTTTTTTGGTGCCACGAAGCAAATTCTTTGTTTTAGGGAACAAAAAAAATATATTCCTTGAACTTTCCCCCTGGTCCATGAAATAGATGTGAGGGTTAAAATAGATGTGTGGTTTTTTTTAATGTCAAATTTGTTTTATATTTTTCCAACTTCAGTTAGGAGACCAGCTAGCATATAGTGGTAAATCTCCAATTGTGTAATGCGTCTGTAGTACTTTCTCACCAAAAGAAAGCTTTTTGGTATATTATTGGCAAATGATATAACTGTACTTTCTCTCCTTGCATGATTATATCACAACCTGTGTCAGTATACTTAGAGAAGAAGGTGTGAAGGTCTAAATTCAATATTTCAATCCATCCCAACCCTGCCACCTATGTAGCGTTAACATTTTCTTTTACCATGAATTTTGCTAGTTTCTCAATCTTTCAAAAATTCAGCATTGGTACAACATCTGCTTGCAAATATTATTGGTTGATTAGCCATCCGTGGTTGAAAAGAAAATCTTTTTTTAAGAGGACAGTTTTCTTTTCACTGAGGCAATTATTTAGGCCAATGAAGTGTAGTTTGTTGTTCCATTCAGAAAGCTGATTTACTGTGGTTTTTAACAAAACACATTTCTATTATAAAACATTATCTTAGCACTATAATAAATAGTGAATTTTTGACCCATTAATAGTAATAGTCAATAGTTTTGAGAAGTAAAAAAATCAATGTAATTGCACACTCATTGTGTTCTATGAACAGTTATTTTGTAATTCAGTTAGATGCACTTGTTTCTCCAAGGGATCTGTAACGTTTAAAGCATTTTTCTTTTGAAGCTCTCAGAAATGTTACTATGGTAATTGTTACAAACATTCAGAAAATGTGTATCCAACTTCGAAGGAGAGCACACCTCTTCCACTTATGAAAGAGACTGAATAAAATCTTGCTATTCATATTATTTTTTGTATAATGTGAGTGTTCTTATGGAGCACCATATGTCAGTGATGTCTTATTTTTCTAAAATTGAAGAGTTGCTGTAACCAAACACATGGGAATTCTGTATGTTTAAAACCCTGAAAGCAACAGACAACATTATTTAACATTTGAATTATAAACACCAACATTTGCTGTGGTCTAAAAATTAATCTGAATGACATCTATGAGGTTAAATGAATACTAACTGAAGTAGAATCAACAATTTGCACATGATAGTTTTTCCTGGTTATTTACAGTTAGTCAAGAATTGGATTTGTGTTTTCATTCTATTCCATTTGTTTTCCCCCCATTCCATTATTTGTTTGTTTTGTAATTTATCAAGAAACTACCAATTGTTGAGCACCATGTTGTCAAAATTCAGACTGCTGAATTTGAGGGCAAAAGAGGAGGCTTGGTTTCATTGACATCTTTAAGGCACTTACCTTGTCCAGATAACTTCATCCAGCAGTTTGATAGATATATTAAAGAATATGAAAGATTTGTTAGGACATTGTAGACTCTGCACATTAAGCAGTACGGAATCCAGCTTTGTGTTATATTTTTAAATTGATGCTGTAGATATCAATGAAATATTATATTACATGACACCCCTCCCCTCCCCAATATTCATTGCACTTATATCCTGTCTTTTTTTGAGAGAGAGGAGGGGAGGGAGCGAGAGCACTCAAGATGGTTTATATGGAATATGGTGTTTCTCGTAGTTTTGTCCCCAACATCAGCTCATTAGGTTGGCTGAACTGAGAATGAGAATGAATTCTGTGTAGACCAGGGACTTGAAACTAGTTTTCTATCATCCAAAACCAGTACCTTCATCACAGTGCTACACTATTGGTGTTATACACCCCCAATTAGCCTATTAGTAAGTCATCCAGGTATCTTATCATAAAGTGATGCTCAACAGCAGCACTACAAATCAAGAGAATGGATTTCAGACCAATGATTTAAAAAAGGAGGGAAAGAAGGGGAAATATTACAATGTTTCAGTCACTTTCATTGTCATTAGCTTGTCAAGCCCCAATGCTGTATTTCTCTTTGTTCTCTTTTATTTAAATAATTAAGTAATCTCATTCAGTAATCTCTTTGGCCAGCACATAATTGGCATCTGGACAAAATGAGAAAAAAGAATAGCCAAATGAATATAGTAGACTTACAAAGGGAGCTAGACCTTTTCATAAAATGCAGATAAACAGAACACAAAACCAAGTTTACCATGAAGTTGAAATGATGGTAATTCTAGTAAAATAATTGATCGTATTTACTTAAGTGGAAGATGAATTAAGATGATTCTCCAAAAAGAGAAAAAGAAGAATGAGACAAAACATATCGTAAACCTACATCATGGTCATCTTTCTTATTGACTTCCAACCATTCATTTAGTGAATTTTTGAAGTTACAATGGCACTAAAAAAAAGTGACTTACAACCGTTTTTCACACGACCGTTGCAGCATCCCCATAGTTATGTGATCAAAATTCAGACACTTGGCAACTGACATGTATTTATGACGGTTGCAATGTTCTGGGCTCATGTGATGACCTTTTGCAATCTTCTGACAAGCAAAGTCAATGGGAAAGCCAAATTTACTTAACAACTAGTTGTTACTAACGTAACGGCAGAGATTCACTTAACAACAGTGGCAAGAAAGGTTGCAAAATGAAGAAAAACTCACTTAACAGCTTACCAGCAGAAATTTTAGGCTCAATTGTGGTTTTAAATCAAGGACTATCTGTATATTTGCTTAGTTGCCAACTTTTGCTGAAACTAGTCCTGAAGATTTTTAATAAATCTGTGCATGTGACATATATCTATGTGTGCATATATGAGTGCATATATGCCCTGGTGAGAAAGTACATTTCAAAAAAGGTTAGTGCTAGGATTAAAAATCCCATTGATGATGATAATGACCTATACATGATGCATATATTTGTCAAATTAAGAAGGGCTAATTGAGTAACATAAGGGAATGCTCATGAATTCTAATCCTACCACAGTTTACTCCTCTTGAAAGAGGAAAAAGATAAGAGCATACGACCCCCAGCTCCTCTCCTTTCTTCCAGATGAAGAAAGTTACAGTCTGCATTGAAGCAGAAAGAGGAGGAAACCACAGCGCTCATTTCTATCTCACTGAGAATGTGAGCTCTAGAAAAATGGACGGAGTCCCCCAGTTGAAGGGGCTCTTTGTAGTAAATTCCATTTGTTCTTCATACTCTGTGATGCGGAGGCAATACACGCTCTACTTCAGTCACTCACTTGCATTGCAGGTAGTCCTCAACTTACGACCACAATTAAGCTCAACATTTCTGTTGCTAAGTGAAACATTTTGTTAAGTAAATTTTGCCCCATGTTACTACCTTTTCTTGCCACAGTTATTAAGTGAATCACTGCAGCTGTTAAGTTAGTAGCACAGTTGTTAAATGAATCTGGCTTCCCCATTCCCCATTGACTTGGCTTGTCAGAAATCACAAAAGGTGATCATCACATGACTCCAGGACACGGCAGCGGTCATAAATATGAACTAGTTGCCAAGCATCCAAATTTTGATCACGTAACCAATGGGATGCTGCGATGGTTGTGAGTGTGAAAAATGGCCATAGGTCACTTTTTCCTGTGCCATCGTAATTTCAAACAGTCACTAAACCAACTGTTGTAAATTGAGGAATACCTGTACTTACAGCTTGATCTCTGCATCTTCCCCTTAATCCTTGCTTTCCTTTGCATGTGTAAGATTCTCTTCTGCTTCAAAGATTATTATGTGGGGACAGTGGAATTCCACATTCCTTTCTGATAAATATAGTAGTGAATAATTCTAGCAGCTGGAACACTCTCTGATCTGATGTTGACGTCTCACATGAGACTTCCTCATAACAATAATCAGAATGATCTGCTAAAATTCAGATGGGTGATTCCATATTAATGTCTTCCCTTTGGCAGTTGAAGTCCTGGTAGTAAACCATTAATCTCTTTTCAATATGAGTGAGGCAAGATACGAGGTGCTGGTTATTACCTTGCAATTCCTGTGTGGCCCAAGACCAGGTTCTAGAAGAAAACACTGAAATAGAATTCACCTCCTTTCTGCTCCCTGAGATCATTTGAAAAAGTTCATCTAGAGTTGCGGTGGACTTCTCTTACAGCAAATCAGGTCAGGTCTTGCTGTAGCTGTCCCAGCAGATTTCTGGATTGTACTTTCCTGTTAATGTACTTTCCTGTTAATGAAGGGGAGCTGTTTGTTTTTTTGCTTTTTGAAAGGCCTTAAACAGGTCCTATCTTTTTGAACGGGCTTAATTCTTACTTATTTTAAATAATTTTAATTTTGTTTAAAATTGATATTTGTGACTGTGTGTGTGTCTCTCTCTGTGTATGAGTGCCTTTGTGTCATTGTTGACTCCTGGCACCTGCCTCGACTAGCCCCTGCAGTTTTCTTGGCAAGATTTCAGAAGTGGTTTGCCATGGCTTTCTCCATAGGGCTGAGAGAAAATGACTAGCCCGAGGTCACCCAGCTGCCTTCGTGTCTAAGGAGGAACTGAAACTCACAGTCTCCTAGTAGAATTTAAAAAAGAAAAATATTATGAGATGAGTTTTATTTAGGGTCATCATAACCTTGAAGCTATTTTAGGGTTCCAGCTAGTAATATATGACTTTATCTAAAAATATTAAATGGAATGTTCTATTCCTACTAAAAGGTTTACAGCAGACATGTCAAACACAAGGCCCGGGGGATGGATGCGGCCCGTGAAGTGGTTTCATGTGGCCCGCAAAGCCATCCTGGAAACAGTGAGGG